CCAATTTCACTTCATCTCTAAGCCGTCCATCGTGTTCTACGTTACATCAAAGAGTCACCATCATAAGGATTGTTCTTTTCTTAATCTTCTGCGTTACAACTGAAAGCCTTTAGTAATTCTGATTCGGCCTCTTGCAATGACACAAGGCGCTCTATCACCGGGTTCTATATATTCTTAGGAGATTCTCCCATTTATTAGAAATCCAAAAAGTAACAAATTGTCTCTCGCTCTTACTTAGAGGTTGAACATCACGATCTCGCATCCACAGTCTGTGAAATATAATGGCTAACTTATGTCTTTTAGGATCTTCACGTCGATTTTATTTCACCTACTGTATTGTGTTGTGATAACCAATCTACATGTCACATAAAAAACTAAGCTAAATTATGCACAATTACACAAACCCTATTAACCTAGGAGAGGCCTACTATAATCACACCATTGAATATGGAAAAATAATTAGAGCCCAACACCAAGAATCTGTTGAAATATTAAATTAGATTTGATTAGATTTAATATTTAATATAATCCAAGTTGTATTAGCCCAAGCCCAATTAGGGTTGTATATAAATAGTCATAGTGTGTATCATTATTTGTACACTTGAATAATACAAATCCTTATTTCCTTTATTATTCTCTCTTTCTCTCCTCACTAAAAGTGCCTCACGCACTAACAAATTGGTATCCAGAACTTCCGGTTATTATTCTTGATCAAGTCTTCAAGAATTTCACGTCAGAGATCGTTTTTTAGGACAAGTGAATCAACCGCTGCGAAGATGGCTAGTGATAAGGGCATTCTAAATTCTCTTCCAATGGAAAAACTGATGCAATCCTTGTTTGGCTTCCATGAAACCCTAGAAGTGGTTACCGACGACGTTCCTGTGTTGGCTGCAAATGCAACCGACGAATAGAAAAAAAGTCCACAACAAAGTCAAGAAGAAAGATTGCAAGGCTGTTTATTGTATTCAAATGGCTGTCGATGTTGCTAACTTCGACATAATCTCTCATGCTGAGATAGCGAAGGAGGCATGGGATATTCTGGTAAAGTATTTTGAAGGAGGTGAGAAAGTCAAGGTTGTCAAATTACAAACCTTGCGTCGACAATATGAGTTTCTGTCGGTGGAAGAAGATGAAAAAGTTGTATAATATGTGTCGAAGGTTCAGAAACTCGTCCATCTCATGAAGGGTTGTGGTGAAACAATTACTGATAAAATGATAGTTGAGAAGGTAATGAGAATGTTGACCTCTCACTTTGATCATGTTATCGTAGCTATTCAAGAATCCAACAATATTGAAACCACTAAAATGGAAGATTTGGTTGGTTCGTTGGAGGCGCATGAGATGAGGATTGTCGAAATAATATGGTGGTTCCAACAAATTCAAAGGCAAGTTCGTCAAGACTCATGGAAAGAAGTCTTAGTCGAATCCCCATAAGAATAAGGTCGAAGATATAACTTCTGAATCCTCGAAAAGGGGAGGAGGAAACTATCAAAAGGACAAAGAAGATAAGAAAGGTATGCAGTGTTATAACTGTGAAAAGTGGGGACACTTGACCAAGAATTGTTGGTACAGAAAAAACAGGGAATCGAAAGGCAAGGACAAAGGATCGAACCTTGCACGCCAAGATTCAGATGATTTTGAAGGTGGTATGATGGTTATGGCTACAGATGGAGGTGGCGAATACACATCCAAGAAGTTTGAATATTTCTGTGTAGAACATAGTGTTAATCATGAGGTAACTGCTCCTTACACACCTCAACATAATGGAATTGCTGAAAGAAGAAATAGAACCATATTAGATATGGCGAGATGCATGCTGAAGCAAAAGAATTTGCCAAAAATTTTATGGGGAGAAGCTGTTTCGACTGCAGTTTATATTTTGAATAGGTGTACTACTAAGATATTGAAGAACAAGGTTCCTGAAGAAGTGTGGAGTGGCAAACGACCATCAGTAAGTCACTTAAAGGTGTTTGGATCTATGTGTTACAAGCATGTTCCTGATGCAAGGAGAAGGAAGCTTGATGACAAGAGTGAACCTATGATTCTGGTAGGATATCATAAAACTAGTGCATACAGACTATTTAATCCAGTTAATGAGAAGATTGTGTTGAGTCAAGATATTGTGATTAATGAAAATTCTTCCTGGGATTGGAATTCTAGAAATTCAATTAACAAATCATTAATGAACTTTGATTTCAACGAAGAAACTAATGAAGTAGATGTCGAATGAATTGTTGAGAATCCAGTCGAAGTCGAAGAAGAAGTGGTTGCTGACACTCCCGTCATAGTCGAAGTCGAAGAGGTTGTGGATGAAACAAGCCAAAGGCCTCAAAAAAATGGAGTTCTTCCAACAAGACTTCATGATTATGAAGTGGTGGGTGATGATGAAATCACACCAGATGGAGAATTAGTTCATTTTTCTTTACTTGCAGGTGCTGAACCAATCAACTATAGCGAAGCTTTGAAGATTAACAAGTGGAAGTTAGCTATGGTCGAAGAGTTATAGGAAATCGAAAGAAACAACACATGGAAGTTAGTCGAATTTCCAGCACATACAAAAGCTATCGAAGTAAAGTGGGTGTTCAAGTTGAAACACAATGCAGATGGGTCAATAGCAAGACATAAAGAAAGATTAGTAGCTTGAGGTTTTCTTCAAAGAGCGGGACTTGACTACTGTGAAATACTTTCTCCAGTAGGAAGATTAGAGACTGTTCGACTAGTATTAGCATTGGCATGCAACCAAGGTTGGTCAACATTTCATCTAGATGTGAAATCATCTAGATGTCGAAGCAAGATATGATGTTACATCAAAGAAAGTATGTCAAAGAGATACTCAAGAGATTCAGAATAGATGATTCGAATCCTGCATCCTCACATGTCAAACCAAATGTGAAGTTGGAGAAGAATGGAGAGGAAGACAAAGTCGATGCAACTTTGTTCAAGCAAATTGTGGGATCTCTGAGGTATGTGTGCAACAGTCGACCTGATATAGGTTTTGCAGTCGGATTGGTAAGCAGATATATGGGTGAACTAAAAGTGTCACATATGAAGGCTGCAAGAAGAATCCTTCGATATTTGAAGGATTCAATAAATTGTGGAATACTATTTCGACGAGATTCTGAAGGCAAATAAGCAATAGTTAATTGTTTTTCAGATGTTAATTGGTGTGGAGATAAGGAAGATCGAAGAAGCACAACTGGATATTTCTTTCAAGTATTTGGTGCCCTAATCTCATGGTGTTCGAAGAAGCAACCTGTGGTGGCATTGTCATCGTGTGAAGCTGAATATATAGCAGGATCCTATGCTGCATGTCAAGCAATTTGGATCAGATCTGTACTTGAAGAAATGATTATCGAAGTGACGAAACCTCTAGTATTGCAAATCGACAACAAGTCATCAATAAATCTGGCGAAGAATCCAGTTCTGCATGGAAGAAGTAAACATATTGAAGCAAGGTTTCACTTCTTGAGGGAAAAAGTAAATCAAGGTGAACTTGAAGTTAGGCATTGCTCAAGTGAAGCACATTTGGTTGACATTTTCACCAAAGGATTGAAGATCGACGAATTCTTGAATTTGAGAAAGAAATTTGGAATAGTTTAGATTGACTATTTTCGAGGATGTTCGACAACTTAGATTATGGGGGTGTGTTGAAATATTAAATTAGATTAGATTTGATTTGATTAGATTTAATATTTAATATAATTCAAGTTGTATTAGCCCAAACCCAGTTAGGGTTGTATATAAATAGTCATAGTGTGTATCATTATTTGTACACTTGAATAATACAAATCCTTATTTCCTTTATTATTCTCTCTTTCTCTCTTCACTAAAAATGTATCGCGCACTCACAGAATCACCATCATTAAAATTGAATTCTTAAACAACTTACAATAACAAACCACCACTAAAGAGTGGATGAAAACACTTAATCCAACATTGGTTCACAAAGAAAACAATATTCCGAAACAAATCAAAGACAAATAAAAATTTAACTTTTATTTTAATCACATCTAAAATATTACATATGAATGATTGTGATGTTTTGATAATATAAAAGTTTTTACGGTGACAACACATAAGAATTAAACTTATATAATTATGTATGTCATTATAAATTTTATATTCATTTATTTTAAATTGAATTTTGTGTAATAGGTAGTCAACAAAATTCTAGAATGCAAACCTATTCTTTTAAATTATTAATAAATATTATTGATATAAAATTAAATAAAAAATAAATTAAATCTCTAAAATATCAATCTCTTATTAATTTGACTCATAAACTATTAAAATAACTTAATACTCTTTTCGAAAATATAATAAAAAGTAATTTAAAAGTTGATATATTTGATTTTGATTTTTAACCATATACATTAACTTTTTTATATAACCCTTTTGTTTATACTTTACTTTGAAGGGAGTAGATCGTTAAACAATTCTCTCATTTAACTATTTAGTTTTTCAAAATTGAATGAAAGAATAATTGTAAACAAAATTTAGTTGATTTTAGAATTTTATAAATTTAATATTAAAAAGTAGTTTAAAGATAAAATTTATTCATAAATAATTTTACAATGTGAATAAATCACAATCATAAAAAAAACATTTAACTTACATTATAATTTTTTTTCTTCTTTTTTTTCATCATAATTCTTTTTAAATCATCCACATAATTTATTATTATGTATTGACTGTGATTTTTCCCTAAAATTGAAGTTCAACTAGAAAATAATATTTTTGTCCCTAAATAAAAAACTAAGAAATAATATTTTTGGTCTTATTATAAAAAAAATTATTTTTTAAATACATTGAATAATTAATGTAGATAGATTATATATAAATCAAGCACATTAACTATTTAATTTATTTAAAAACTGATTTTTTTTTTATAATAAATTTGGAGGATGTAACAATTACAATTGTTCAAAAGCAAAAATGACTTATTTATCTCACAAACTTGTCAATTATTTCATAAATTATATTGCGACAAAACCAGACTCTTAAGAAGCCTCATCGGATGAGGAATCGAGGATGTCGCGAATAATTTGTGGGTCATGACCGAGTCGAACTGCTTCAAGAATTTGTTCAAACACGGAAACACGACATGGGATTCGAATCACACCTTTCTGTTTGTAACCGTATTCTTGAGCCGATAAATTGAGGAGGTTCACAAAAACTGGATGATTGAGTAACTCTGTATTGAGGATGAAACGCTGCATTTCTTCTCCCACATACACCGGCACATGACCCTCTGGCACATGATCTGAATGGACTGATTCGGCCTGTTGTGATTTGATTGAGTTGGATTGGAGAAGAGAGTAACTCGAAGAGTCATTAATACAAGAGAATTTGCGAATAAATTGTTTCATAGCTTTCAGAGCCAGAATCGTAATAACAAGAAAGAGAGACAAAAAAGAAGGTATTAAGAACGAGAAAAACAATATTGATTTTTTTGTGAGTATTTTAAAATATGATAGAAATGAGTGGGTAGAATAAGGGTTGTGGGGGGATTTATATAGAGAAAAATTCATTAAAGTGGATAAAAAATCACTTAAAATGAAAAATATTTTTTTATGTTAAAGGTGTTTATAATAAATGACATAATGGGTAATATATTTATAATTTTTTTTGTCTATTAATTTGATGGTCAAAATTTCATTTCTTGTTGATAAATAAATAAGATGTTGCATTTTTTAACACAGTCGACAATTGAATGTCTTCGCCTAATTATCAATTGACTTGATTAATATAATAAATATTATATTTTTAATCATTTAACTAAATGATTTGTTTTATATTGATCACATAATTAATATTTATTAATGTTAATGTATTGAAGTTTATTTTATTTAGTCAAGTTAGTCTATTCGATAAATTACGCGTTGATTGTGATTTTCCCCTAAAATTGAAATTCAAATAGAAAATAATATTTTTGTCTCTAAATAAAAAACTGAGAAATAATATTTTTGGTTTTATTAAAAAAATTACTTTTAAATACATTAAATAATTAATGTAGGTAGATTATATTAATTATTTAATTTATTTAAAAAATAATAATTTTCTTATAATAAATATTAGAGGATATAACAATTACAATTGTCCAAAAGTAAAAATTACATATTGATCTCACAAATTTGTAAATTATTTCATAAATTGTTATAATGAAACTAGACACCTAAGAAGCCTCATCAGATGAGAAACCGAGGATATCACGAACAATTTATTTGTCACGATCGAGTCGAACTGCTTCAAGAACTTGCTCAAACATGGAAACACGACATGAGATTCGAAGCACACCTTTCTGTTTATAATTGTATTCTTGAGCCGATAGGTTGAGGAGGTTCACAAAAAACGGATGGTTGAGTAGCTCTGTATTGAGGACGAACCACTACATTTCTTCTCCCACGTACATCGGCACGTGACCACTGGCACATGATCTGAATGGAGTAATTCAGTCCGTCGCGGTTTGGTTGAGTTGGATCGGAGAAGAGAGTAACTAGAAGAGTAACTAATCCAAGAGAATTTGCGTATAAACGGTTTCATAGCTTTCGGAGCCAGAGTCGTAATAACGAGAAAGAGAGACAGAAAAGTAGGTATTAAGAACGAGAAAAATGATATTGATTTTTTTGCGAGTGTTTTAAAGTATGCACTACAACGAATAACACTTTTTATGATGAAATTTTCATCTTGAACATGCTAAAAACCAAGAGTATATGTTCTAGGGGTGCCATGTTTGATTTTTTTTAATAAAATAAATAATATTTTACCTCGGTGTTATGAAAAATGAGGTAACACAACTATAAGTGAGCACCATTTTTATACATAAAAATAATAATAAACATATTCTCTCAATTTTTTGGAGAACCGATGTAGTATAGCTTTAAGGTATCTCGCTTCAAATTCCCGTTACCGCATTTTATTTTTTTTCTACGATTTATCACTTGGTGTCTTTTCCAGATTCTATGTTTTTCTTTGTTAATTAGTAATTCTCAAAATCGTTGTTATCAATAAACAAGAATATGCAATAATAGAAAAAGGAAATATTTCAATGATAATAAAAAATAAGACAACAGAGAAAATTATTCCACATATTCAAACTTCTCAGTCCGCTCAACTTAAACATTATTCCTAACTATTCCTAACTTATAGAAAAGTTCATAAAGAACTTTTCCATGTGGTATGAGGTTCCTCCCGAGAAATGCTTATCATTTCTTTCAAAATGTTGAAAATGGTAAGAGAAAGATTAACTCTAATGTTATACGTGAGGAAGTATAAGAGATGTTTGTCATACCAAGTAAGAGTTTTCAGTTGTTTCTCTCTTGGGAGGAGATTTTCTACTAGAAGTTGAAACCAAAATTTTGCAATAGAGAGTAGAGAAGCAGGACTAATGGGCTTATCTTGGTTGACATAAATTCGGTGAAGGCAGGTTGAGTAGACATTATTGAATTGATAATGTTTAACACAACTACATGTCTCTTGACAGTTGATTGTCATAACAATCAGTGATGGAGTAACAAAGAAATAAGAGCCATTGACATAGGGTTAGATGACTTTATTATGACCAGCTGGTACAACAGAGGCATTCATTCAGAAATCTTTAACGAGATTAGTGTATATGGGGCCATGTAAAATGTGAAAGTAATCATTCAACCTTTGTTTGTTAACATCTTTTCTTAGTTCAAAATGATTGAAATCAACAAACTTTTCATTGATAACGAACAAAAAAATGCATCCATTTTTTAATTAAAAAAAGACTTTGAAACAAGGAAACAAGAGACAGAGAGTTTGAAATGAGACGTTGAAAATACGAAAAGACTTTGAAATTGTTGAAATATTTGATATAATATTAGATATAATCCAAGTTGTGTAATTTAAGTCCAAGCCCAATTAGCGTTTGTTAGCCTACTTAGTGTACAAGTTAGTTGTATATAAATAGACTAGTTTATAAATCAGTTTGTAAGAATTCAATTCAATAATACAATCCTTATTTTCCTTTATTCTCTCTTTCTCCATTCACTAAAAGTGTCTCACACACTAACAAATTGATATCAGAGCTTCGATTAGATTCTTGATCGTGTTTTCAAGAATTACACGTCAGATATCGTATTTTTGAGATTATGGGTTATTCACTAGCAATCATTGCAAAGATGAATGGTAACAATAGCATTATGATTTCTCTTCCAACTCTTGAAGGCAAGAATTGGATTCAATAGGGAAAACAAATGCAATCTCTATTTGGATTTCATGAAACCCTAGATGTGGTTACAAATGAGCTTTTTGCGCTAGCTGCAGATGTAACTGAAGCACAGAAAACAACCCACAATAAAGCCAAGAAGAAGTATTACAAGGTTGCGTATTGCATTTAAACGACGGTCGATGCGATGAACTTCGACATGATCTCTCATGATGAATCGACAAAGAAGGGATGAAATATTCTTGTCAAGTATTATGAAGAAGGTAAGAAAGTCAAGGTTGTCAAGTTGCAGACCTTTCATCGATAATATGAATTATTGTCGATGGGAGGAGACGAAAAGATTGCAGAGTATTTTTCGAAGATTCAGAAACTCGTCCATCTCATGAAGGTTTATGGTGAAACCCTAACTAGTAAGATGATAATTGAGAAGGTAATGTGTATGCTGACCTCTCACTTTGATCATGTTATCGTAGCTATTCAAGAATCCAATCAACTTGAAACCCTAAAACTGGAAGATTTGGTTAGTTCGTTAGAAGCGCATGAGATTAAGATTGTCGAAAGGAAAGGAGTTCAAGACTTGATACAAGCTCTGTAGGCTCAGTCATGGAAAAAGAACTGTGGTTCTAAGAAATTCAAAGGCAAGTTCAACAAGACTCAGGGAAAGAAGTCTTGGTCGAATTCCCACAAGAATAAGGTCGATGATAGGGCTTCCGAATCCTCGAAAAGAGGAGGAGGAAACTATTAAAAGGAAAAAGAAGATAAAAAAGGTGTCTAGTGCTATAAATGTGAAAAGTGGGGTAGCTTGGCTAAAAATTGTTGGTACAGGAAAGACAATGGATCGATAGGCAAGGACTAAGGAGTGAACCTTACATACCAAGATCTGGTTCCTCGACTCTAGATGCTCGAATCACATGACTGGTCAAAAGGTGTGGTTGGCATTTTCTACGAGTCAAAGAAGAGCAAGGTAAAACTTGTTGGTAATAGTTCATTGTAAGCAGGAGGTACTCGTAACATAGTTTTTCAAATGAGTAATGAAGGAAACGATATGATTAAATATGTACTCTATGTGCCTGGAATAAAGTGCAACCTTCTAAGTGTTGGATAACTGGTCAAAAAAGGTTTATCAGTTGTCATGAAAGATGAAGCTCTAAAATTTTTCGACACCCAGAACAATTTGGTCTTGAAATCTCCTCTGTCGAAGAATATGACGTTTAAGACTATGATCAGTTCGACAAAAGTTCAATGTTTGAAAATAGTTTTCGACCACAAAGATAATTGGTTGTGGCATTTGAGGTTTAGGAATTTGAACTTTAGATCACACAATTAACTGATTACTTAAGATATGGTAACTGGTATCCCAAATCTTGATATGTCTGATAAACTCTTTGAAGGTTGTTTAGTCGGAAAGTAATTTAGAAATTCCTTTGTTTCGACTATGTCAATGAGATCATCCTGCATACTTGAATGTATTTGCCTACTGAACTGATTAATATGATAAATATCATATTTTTAATTAAATAATTTGTTTTATATTGATCTTATAATTAATATTTATTAATTTTAAGGTGAAGTTTATTTTATTTAGTCAAGTTAGTCTATTCGATAAATTTTTAATTTTAAATGTTTAAGATGTAACGATATTTTTGAATATCCAAATTTTAAAATTAAAAAAAAGTTTTTCTAAATATAAAAGAATGTGTTGTAAATGATTAAACTTTAAACCATCAATTTATATTCGTTTAACTCAATTATTCCATATATAATTAATTAAGTTATTCCACTCGCATTGAATGCCCACATTAGACTCTATTATTATTTTTTTCAAAATGTAAACCATTTGCTTACCAATTTTTTTTTTAAACTATTAATCTTTTTTAACAAATTCGATATTCATTGAATCTAACATAAATCAATAAAACTTTTAATTTTTAAAATTTTCTTTATTTTTTTTACGTAACCTTTTTTATTTTCATCCACCTCAGATTTCTTTTACTTTAAATCCAATTCAAACAATTTTCAAAATTCAAAAATCTCAAATTTCAATAACTTTTCTAACAAACCCTAAAACCTACCTCTAGTCAAAACTAAGTCTAAATTCATGACAAATAGCAACAAAAATAGAGACAACTCAGTTATATGTCATTGTATATGAAGACAAAAAATAGTCAAAAGATGAATAGAAAAGAGACTACAACAATTAAATTGTCTATTAAAAAAAATTAAATATAGAAATTTACACTTAGATTTAATAAATCTTCAAAAATCTACTATGAAATTTGTATAAAAGATCAAATAAATTAATTAAAAATTATATTTTTTAACTAATATTGTCTATGACTTTCACTTTATTAATTTTTTACTTTATATTTATGATAATTAAAATATACTATGATAATAATACTTTGATTGAGTTGTTATTCTATTTTTTATTTTTTTAATATTTTTTTTCAACAAGAAATTCAAGTCATTGCATACATTTTTTTTGGAAATCTCTAACACAGGTAGTTTAATTACATAACACGCTATATGTTATGTTATGTTTGTTTTAAGGATAAAAATAAAAATTAGCTCAATATAAAAATAGTTTGATTACGTTTTTTAATCAATAAAAATATTTAAATATTTTCTAAAAATTAATAATTTAAATACAACATTCATTTTAAATAAATGAATTTATTTAATCCAAAAAAAGTCGGTGAATTAATATGCCCGTTATTGTGCTGACGAGAGAGAAGAAAATAAGAAACTTTATATTTGTGATGAAGTGGAAAAATTTGAAGGTAAGCGTATATGGCAAGTACAAATGAAGAAAAAACAATGATAGATAATAATAAGAAACTTCAATCTTAATATTATACTACCTTTTTCAAATTACATTAGTTAGAGAGTTAAATTTATTAATTATTTGTATAATTTTATAAATTTACTTTTATGAGAGAGAGATAATTAATGTTTATATAAATATATTTATTATTGATTATAGAAAAAGATATGATATAATTAAAACTATATTTAGAAAAAAAATAATTACTACATTTTAAAAATTAAATAGAAGTTCATTAAAAGAGACAAAAAAAACTCAATTTTTTTTTATAATTAGGAATGGAAATAGTAACTTTTAACGAGTGTTTTTCTTGCAATACATACTTTTTGTTTTTTTTTATATTATGATTAATTAATGAAATATTAACGTTTTTATTCGTATATTTTTTTTATTTACTATACATTAAATATTTAATTATAGTTTTTGTTGCCTATTTTATTCTATTTCAAAATTAAATAGTTTTGATCATATTTTTCATTAAAAATTGATTATTTGTTAATTTTTTAATGAAGTATAGCTTGTATATTTTAGTTTTAGAGTTTAACAAATGTTCCTTTTTTTACCGTTTTTAACATTTTCATTTGAAAAAAGATAATTTGTTCATTCACTATTACGAAAAATCTATTTAACAACGGTTAGAAAACTTATATAATCATGCGGGTTTAAGCATTATTGTGTAGAGTGTTGTTGTAAATGTGTTACTTACAATTACGGTGCTGGAACCGTTATAGTATACTGAAAAGTTCGTGTGATATCACAACGATTAGTTAACTTAACCGTTGTTGTATGTCTTTTAATAAAAAAAATAACAGTAGAACAACAATAGCAGTAAGAACAACAAGAATAACAACAAGAACAATATGAACAACACGAACAACATGAACAACAACAACAACAAGAACAACAACAAGAACAACAAAAAGAAGAAGAAGAAGAAGAAGAAGAAGAATGTACAACAACAACAATAACAAGAACAATAACAAGAGCAACAACAACAACAACAACAACAACAACAACAACAACAACAACAACAACAACAACAACAACAACAACAATAACTAAAAAAAAAACAATAAGAACAACAACAACAACTAACATAGCTAACTTGAATCAATACTTTCCTTGTCTCATTTAAGATGGAGAATAAATACTTTCGAGTTTTACTTATGGAAGAAATGATATTTTCGAGCTTGGTTTAGTAGAGAAATAGAGTGTCGTAAATGAAATATGATGTTTGAAGGTAGAAGATAAAGTTCCTCTAAGTTAGAAGTTTGTCTAAGTTTTAGGTTTCACGTGGATCGCTAATGATGGTGTCCTGAGCGTTGATAGTCACTTAAATGGACAATGAAATTTATTTAAGGATGGTGAAGAAACTCAATAATTACGCTACATACAACAAAGGTTGTATTAAATAACCGTTGTTGTGTGTATTTTAATAAAATATAAAAAATGCAACACTAAAAAAGCAACCGTAGCAAGATTCGAACTCATGACCATGCGTGTTACATACAACAACGGTTGTATTAAATACGCGTAATTGTATGTCTTTTAATAAAATATAAAAAAATACAACAATAGAACAACAAAAACATCAAGATTCGAACTCATGACCATGCGCCACTTTTTACCATGGTTGGAACTTCTAACTGTGGTGAAAATTGGCTTAATTTAAAAAAAAAATGCCTAGTAGAATAGATTCTACCATGGTGGATCCTTTGAAGTGTTGACTTAGGTGTTGTTGTTTGCATGTTTTGTAGTAGTGATTATTCAATAACGTGTAATTTTTACTTTTTTATCTTTAAAGTTTTACAAAGATTTATATACGATGATTTTTCACATTTCACAAGTAAGACGTCATAAGTATATTATCTTACATCATGGTGTCGAGTTCATCAAAATAGCATATGCAACGAAAATAATTCAAAAACAACTAAAATATAATAAGCATGTAGCGTCAAGGTTCTTCATGTCATCTTCCCCTCGTCTTTAGTTCTTATCTGATTATCTGGAAAAAATAATGTAAATATGGGGTGAGATGATAAACTCAGGGGATTCTCACTACAACCATAAGTTTACTTCGAGGCCAGCTACTATACTTGTAACTTACTATGTCTATCAGTTAAGGAACTCATACGAATGTTAGAGATGCTCAACATCTTGATGGACACCAAACATAATTCACCTATGCATTATAAAGACATTAACATGGAATCTCATACACCTATATGAACCCACAGATCATAACCGCAACAGTCTTCCATAATTCAAGTCTAGTTTATGGAATCATCAACATCCTATTATGACTCTTTGTGACTCTATCTTTGCTTCCAGATCATACAACCAGTATATGAAGTGAGACATGTTATTTCCTATATGTATTCAATTAGGTTCATATTCCTTTACACAATGGAACATGAACAACCATATAACCACTATACAAATTTTCTTAATATACAGATAAGTTAGAACCCGTCATTTGAGATATACATATCTCATTATTCTATCCACTTAGGGTTTTCCCTAGTTGTTTCCAATACCACTGATGTTCATCACTTCGAACCTCATTCTTTGATCATTATTCACACACGAACCTTGATATGTACTGAATGTGCTAAAATGGTAACTAGACCACATGTACATAGGGCACGTTGGACAAGGAAATTGACAAGTTTGTCACTTGTCAAATTTTTAGAGTCTATGCTATTTATATATTAGTTATTTTGAGAAATGTTTCTATAATTAACAATACTTATAATATTATTTAATTTCTTATTGTTTCTTTAAATTTACTAATTAATGATAAAGAATCAAATTTTTTTGGCAGGCGATTTAACTTTCTATTTCATATTGTACAACTATTAAATGTTTCATTTGTTTTCAAGAAAACTGTTTTATTTTCCAACTCAAATTCAATGTTAACCCTATTCTCATCCTTTATATATTTCTCTCTCTATCTATTTGCTTTCTTCTTCATCTTTCTTCTCCCCCCCCCCTCTCTCTCTCTCGCTATCTCTCTCTCTTCCTACTTATCTTCTTCTTTTTGTTGTCCTGAATCTAGATTTTTTGTGTCCATGTCTGTCTCAGCATTGCCTTCCCGCATAGAACAAGAAGTAACGAAAATACATAAGCGAAATCCAAAATTATGAGAAAAGAGGGAAGAAAAATTATTGGTGACTGAGACAATCGGAGGAAAAGTAGAGGTCGTGGTGATTGAGATTTCGTCGGTGAACATGGTGTTTTTTGAGCAGAGAGACGACGAGGAGTATGAAGCGGTTTCGTAGCAGCAATGCATTTTATCCAGTGGTTCTGTATCTCTCTTTTTCTTTGCAGAAATTTCTCTTGTTTCCTTATGTTTCTCTATTTTATTTATTACGTTTATGTTGATAAAGTTTGCATGCAGTGAGATAGGTTTGAAGGATGTATTTATGAAATTTAGCACACTAAATGTTTGCACAATTGTCTCTATTTTTGTTGGTGTAGTTAGGTTCATGGATGGTTGATGTTGTTTTGACAAAAATATGAAAAGATTAGGGAGATGGTGGTTCAAGGGTTCGCCTGAGTATGTGCGCTCATGCTACGAAGCTAGCTTATAACGTCTTGGTTTTGAGTACATTGATCTATATTATCAACACCAAGTTGATACATTTGTGCCTATTGAGGATACAGATAATCATTCTTCATATGCTGCATTATATGACTGATTTTACTAGATTCATTGTTAACATGTTTGTTCGGTTATAGGTCCGTGAACTTAAGGAACTGGTGGAAGAGGGAAACGTGAAGTATATTGGCCTATCTGAAGCTATCTCGAATATGATAAGTAGAGCACATATTGTTAATCCCATCACATTTGTACAAATAGAGTGGTCTCTTTGGACTCACGATATTGAGGATGAGATAGTTCCTCTCTGTAGGTTAGTTTGAGTTCCTCTCCAAGTTTAAACCAACATCTCTTGGTAGTGTTTGTGTTAAATGATACTTTTCTTATTTATAGTTCTTGCTGATACATAGAGCTTGGTATTGGAATTGTACCATATAGTCCTCTTGGTCATGGTTTTTTCGGTGGCAAAGGAGTTCAGGAAAATGTACTTGCAGTTAGCACCTTGGTATAACTTTTTAGCACTTTGATTAAATAAGTATTTCTGCTGCATATACAATGGAAATATTAAAAAGATGTGCGAAATTATGTAATACCATTGATCAATTTGTTGTATTATTTTTCTCTTATTTTTATAATTGATTTTAATGCATAAGCTCTGGTATTGAAAAATGATAATCAATTTTGGAATTTTTGTTGCAGTGCATTTTTGTAGAACCTTGATTATACCCTAAAATAGTTTTGGATTTTTGTTGGAAGTGATTACTGATTAATTATGTATATGAACTCGTGGATGATGATTTTTTGTGCTTTTTTTGGATCCTTGAAATTTGAATATAGTTACGCGAACTTTGTGTAGTAGTTTTCAGAATGTTGTATTTGATTTACTGTGTTTGATTGTATTTTGTTGATTGTTGTAGTTGTTGAAACTAAGGATGGATCTGTTTCAGTAGCTACTATGTTTGCTGGTCATCGGAAAGGTAATGCTTCTAAGCTCAGTTCAATATATTGTCTTCCGACAATTTCGGTTCCACAGTAAGTTTTTTTGTCTTTTGATACTCCTTTTTCTTCTATACCTTCCGACTCTGATGCACGCGTAGCTGTTAGCTGGATTAAATTATGTTTTCAGGTTGTGTAGTGTTTATCATTGTTGTTGTTGTTTTGAAATCATGGTTTTTGATTTGTGAGGGTTTGATGTGTGAGAGCTGTGGGTTTTAAATTTTGTTTGATTTGTGAGGGTTTTATTGCTGTATGAAATCTGGTTTCTGTAGAGTGAATTAGGATTCTATGTGAAATTGATCGTTTCTACCTCCTTTTGCGAATGAAGTAGAGCCTTCTATATAGTAAGGGATTAGACCTGATGTGTGTGACAGAGATAGAATTTAGGAGTTGTTGGAATGAGACATTTGAAGGAAGAACATGACTAACAAATCATGGAATTGAGGGTTGAGCTGTAAAAGAAGTATCAGGAGTTGAGAAATTGATAGAGAAATTGAGTGAGGTGGATAAAACTCCTACTTTTCAGGGAAGTTCCAAAGTGTGTATTGTTGTACTAAAGAGGTGGATTATTGAGTCACAATTGAATCATGTTTTTTCTATTTCTACAGGTTTTCATTTGGTCTGGTGCAAGTCTTTTGGCATGCATTTTCAATTGCAGAGACAAGTTCCTTTGCATCTACAGGTACATGGCCCTTTTCAATCTTCATGCATTATGTAATGAATGCTTTAAATATCCTTCAATCCATTTCATCCTCAACTGACCCAAGGTGTTTCATGAATGGTGATGAGGTGACTAAGGTGTCTATTATGACCCTTTTGGCTGCTACATTCGTCTTGGAAATATATGATTCTAGCATTAAAGGCTACACATATTCTAAGGTGCCCTTTTGCATTTTCACTTTTTGACAGAAGCGAAGACGGTGGCTCGTGGTGGAGTGAAGGTTGACGCGGAAGAGGGAGATTGTGGATGAGAATCTTGCTTTGAGATAGATAAGGGATTTCGTCTTTGCTGTCGGTGTTGGAGTGGAGGAGTGTGTAGTGGTTGAAATGTTGACACTAAGCCATTGGATTGACTTAACTCGCACAGGTCAAATAAAAATCATCATTGCACTTTATTGTTTCCAAAGGAATGGGAAAAGAGAGAATAACCCAAAAAGAGGGGGAGAGAATCTAATTTTGGGGGTTGGTTATGCAAAGGGAAGGTATTAGCACCCTAAACATCTACGGTACTCCGCAAGAATCTCTTTGAAAATTTGTGTATTTTGACTATAAGTGTTGTATAAAAAATAGATTATGGGGATGAGAAAAGAAGTATTTTTTTTACGATTTTTACACCCGCCGCGATTGTGAACCTTTAGTGTCTACGTACCACCTTCCGTGCAATAGGGGATCAGGGTACTCGTAGTTCACCTTTAAAAATTTTAAAACACAAGTGTGTTGGTTAATTTTAAGAGACGAGACATCATCTTCGTATCCGAGTGGAAGAACATACTTACTACCCACGACTATGAGAAAGGAGAATTTGCATCATCTCAAAGTGGAGGATATGGCTTAGATTTTAAAATCAACAAAGCCTCACTCAACACCCAAGTGAAAAATATATCACTTCACTATATATCATAGAAGTATAGTAGCTCGCATCACTACAAGGATTGATAAGAGTCTAATCTTTTGAGAAAAGTTTTAAAGTAAAAAGCCGAAGTGGCAAAAATACTTTGAATGAGATTGATTGACTTTTAGTCTTCTCACAAAAAAATGTCAGAGTATTGTTAAGTTGTTTTAAATTTTGATTAAAGAAAATATTTTTAAAAAATGCATGGACCTAAGTCCAAGTTTATTGTGAAAGCGGTTCAAATTTTGAAAACAAGAATAATTTTGAAAAGGAGGGAGAATATTTTTGAAATTAAAGAAGATGAGAGGAGATGAAGGGACTATCCTAGAGCATAAGGTAAAATCTAGGGAAAAGAATCGTTTAACCAACAAGAAGCCAACACTTGACATAATGAGTCAATGTAGAATTATCGTCCTTTGGATTGAAACCATACAAGTAAAGATAATAAACCTCTTAAGAGAACCAAGCTTCAAATCCATTAAGTCTTCACAAAAATTGGGCAGAGTCATGGCTGTATACAGATGAATTCTCAATCATAGATAAAGCATATAATCAGAATAACATGCACACAAAGAAAACAAACAACCCAATATCTTGGGGTAAACCCCAAGAACTCCAGACAAAATAAAAGTAGAAGTCACAAGGTATCAAGGTATGTCAAAGTCTCTAATCCTAAGTCCGAGAAGTCCAAACTCCAAAATGCCAAGGATAGTAACCAAATAGTTCAAATAACCTTTAAGCTTTTTATAGTTCAAGTTAGTTATTAGGTATCTTCAAAAAGAAAATGAAAAACTCAATTGAGCAAAATAAAAAGGACATAAAAATAAATTCTCAAGTGAGCAAATATGAAAATAGCATGAAATGTAAATGCTAAGATAAATGGTTCTTAAAGTAAAAGCAAAAAAATAAAAGCATAGAAGTAAAAGTCAAATCTTAATGAGTTAGGAATTAGAGGTTAGTTGAATGAATATCTTGAATCTTGAATTTCAAAAATCATTAGGAGATTGATAAAATTAAAGCCTCTCAACAACAAGTTTCATTTGCTTTTTGTCAAGTATATCATTCATTTCAAAATCTCAAGGAGACAACAAATGATCAACGATGTTTAAATGATTCACTTAGTCTAAAATTTATGAAAGTACATTAGAGGATTAATAAGACCAAAGCCTCCTAACAATGAACCTCAAAGTTATTGGATCAAAGGCTTCAAGTTAAACATACACGGGCTTGCAAATATAGGTTTGGACCACGAATGATCATTTTTCGAATTGGGACAAAATTTAGCGCTATGTTAAGCAATCGTAAGTGGACTTATGTAGAAGTTGCACATATTTTGAGACCGATCAATAGCAATCTATGTGCCATATGTTTGAGAGATGATATGTAAATCATCCTCTAGCAACATGCAACACAAAAGAGAAGGGGATAAGATGAAGAGTTAGGGGATACATTTGAATCAAAAATTTAATTAAATTGTCATTAAAATCACCCATCTATTTTAGTGGAGGTAAACTCAACACTCAAGATCCAATGATGTTAATGAAGTTTATGATCAACAATCACATAATCAGAATATATTTAAAAATAAATAAATTGCATTTAATGAATAAAATAAAAGAAAAAAATGACTTTTAAATTGTTTTAAAAATGAGAATAAAAGGTAAAATAGCAAACAATATTTAAAGTATCAAAGAAAAATTTAAAAAGATCATAGAAAAATCAGAAATGACTTCAAGTATTTTTATAAATTTTTTGATAATTTTTTAAAACAGAAAAGTATTTATAAGCTAATTAAAATCACTCAAATAAGTGGAAAAAAAGATCAAAAATAGTAGAAGTCAAAATAAAATTCTAGAAAAATTTTAGAAAGTCGGAAATAAGGAAAATGATTTTTATAAAAAATTTAGAATTTAAAAGTATCAAAAAGTAATTTTAAATAATTAAAAACAAGTTGAAATAAAGGAGAAATTATAAAAAATATCAAATCTGAAAATAAAATCATGAAAAACTAAAAATCAGAAAGAGAATACTTGAAAATATTTATGTGAATTTTTTCATAATTTTTGAGTCAAAAATGAATTTTCTATGATTTTTTTAAGTTTAAATCAATTAAAATAAAAATCAGAAAATAAAATAACAAACCAAAAAAATATGAGTCATCTAATCATTGTCAAAATGCTTTAGTAAACAGATCCAATGGATCTGGCGCGCTGTACATGTCATAGACTTTATTGAATATCACACCCAATCATTTTTATTAAAATAAAAATAACTTAAAATGTGACACGTTGGATGGAGTCTGACTCACTAAAGTAATCAGATCCAAGGGCTCACAACACGCGCGTATGGTAAAGTGAAATAGAAAATCTGTTTCAAAAAAATAATGTGGCTAAACGTCATTGGTTGAAGACATACATGTCATCGTCTTCAACCTCCAGCCAACCTCAAATCGAATTCCACAAACTGTATAATTAGCTAACTATATTGGTACCATTAGATTCATCTTTTCAAGACGATTCTAATGATACCATCGCGCCAAATTTATATAAATTGAGCAAGGCTTAAATTGAAAAAATGCAGAAATAATAGCGAGCACGAAATTCTAGAATATCTCACTCAAGGATATGCAATGTTATATGCATATGCAATGTTTTCAAGGATTTCAAAGATTCAAAATTGTTTTAGACAAAAAGGAAACACACGTTATATTAATAAGATAAAGTTTGAGTACATCAATGCCCCTTGGAAAAAATAATACAAAACTCTAAGATAGAAAGGTAGTGCGCATCCTCTTTGGTGCAATGTAGGCATTCAGAGTCTGCTCCTCATGAAGTAGCCTAGTGAGTTCCAAAACCTTCTTCTCGCTTGCGTAGAATTGGGCTTCGAAAGTATCTCGCTCTCCTTTGAGTTGTATCCAATCCCTTTGTAGGTCTTCAAGAGATGTGGGCATGTCAGGATGTAGGATAGTGTATGGAACATCTCCCTCCATGACAGGCTCGATGATTATCGGGAGAATGGAGGGGTAAGGCATCATAAGACTCTGAGCACGAGTCCGTACCCATTTGAGGTAAGGCTCAAGAGGGATGAAATTTTTATGCCCCAAGGTCTTGCTATCCACCTTGTTTAACATCCTCCAAGCTCAGATAAATCTCTGGAGAAGACCTTGATCGTCGTTGTCGTAGTCAAATACCAAACCTTGAATCAACATCTCGTGCGGGCCATCTCTTCGGGCATAACCAAACCGTCTCAAGGCCAAACAAGGGTTGTAGGTGATACCTCCCCTAATGCCAAGTAAAGGGACATTAGGAAATTCTCCATAACGGTCGACAATGATAACCTTCTCTTTGGATCGGGATCACCAATGAATGTCTGAATGTTTGAGCGTCATCAACCTTTGTGACCACCTTGAACTTTGCTCATTCTTTAATACAGATTGGGGAAGATGAGAAATAAACCATCTTTCCAAGAGAGGAGTGCAACACATAAGAACACCTCTTTTCCTCACTGTGCGAGTTTGAAAAGAGTGTAGGATATCTCCTAGCAATGTAGGTACTGGGTTGTGGGATATGAAGATTTTGACGGTGTTGACATCTATGAGTTGGTCAGGATTTGGAAACAAAACCATCCCATAGAAGAGGAGAGCCACAATTTCCTCAAAGGCTTGCAAGTCCAAGGAATTACAACAACTTTGGGCTTTCTCAAACAGGATCTTTGCTAAGAAACCTTTGACACCATTCATTGTTTCCCAATGAGTTGTGATATCAGATGAGTGCAAGTGTAGAGCTTGAGCAATATCTTCTGGCTTTGGATCTCTTTCCGTACCGTTGAAAGGTAGTTGATTGAGAATGGAAATCCTCAAGAGTTGGGAGAATTCTTCCAAAGTAGGCACAAGTTGATAGTCGGGGAATGTTAAGCAATGGTGTAAAGGATCAAAGAACTGAAAAAGCACCTTCACCATGTCCTCATCTGTGTTGGAGGTGACCAAGTTGAATAGGCGACCATGTCTCTCGGTGAATGGAGAGTTTTCAGGAATCCTTGAAACTAGCTCCTTAAGTTGTGGAGGGATTCTCACAAGGTTGACTTGGATAGTTTTCCTTCGAAGTGAA